GGGTTGGGGTTGAATTTTCATCCTGATTATGCCCTTCTGAAAGGAAGTCAGTGGTGGATCAGGAAGGTGCATGAGTGAATTACTGACTCCTGGTAAAGCTGGGATGTTTTGATGCTGAACAATGGCCCCAGGATCAAAACATTGCCTTCCTCTGTGCTTATTTCCCCTAAAATGTGTTCTCGAAGTCTCATGAGTGGCACAGCTGATCAAGTGACATTTATAAGCCTATAGGAAGGCACCCCTTGCACACACAGATGGGATTTTTGTAAGGTTGTGTTTTCAAAAGAAAGTAAACTCACTGATTTACATAAGCCTGCCTCTTCCTTAAAGGCTGAGCTATTTTAACAGTGCATTCCACCAAAATGAATAATATTTGGCTTTTGGAGGCAGATTTTTCTGTGGTTACAACCTCTTTTGCACATCATAAATGTCCAACCCCATCCCCTTGCTTTTCTTTGATTAAAAAGAGCAACAACTAACCTTTAAAAATACCGTATTTGTCATGGGCTCGCTTGGGTTTCAGCTGGTGTGATTTGTGTGTCTGCCCTCGGAGCAAACACACTCATTGAGGAGAATTAGCAAGGGTTCACACTGCAGGAATGAAGATTTTGGGTCATCTCAGGTGCTGCTGCAGAGGATGGGGTCTCTTTGGAGATGAGGTTGAGGTGGGTCCCGAGTCCAAGGCTGGAACTGGAAAACCTCCAGCACTTGCAGGTGACCCGTGGATCCCACAGGGAGCTGAGGTGGCAGCAGAGCCCTGCTGGGAGTGTCACAGTCGTGTTCTGTCCCAGGATGGGCAAAGCCAGATTCCTAAATCCCAAATCCTCCCAGATTTTACACATCTGTTCTTCCAGGCTGCCTCCCATTCCAGCCTGACTGGGCATCAGCACCTTCCCTTCTTCCACCAGATCCTGCCCCCAGTCCCACCACCCTCGTCACCAGTGGGCAACGCTGGAAACCAAACAAGCAGCACTCAGAGAATCTGGCCTGGGATAAATCAATTTTATTCCTGCCCCCAATCCCACCACCCTGAATCACCAGTGAGTTCTGCAACACTGGAAACCAAACAAGTAGCACACAGAGAATCTGGCCTGGCATAAAAAAACTCTGTCCCCTGCCTTCACAGTGACAACTTTCAGCTGCTGCAGATCTCTCAGACCTGGAGGTGTCCTCTCCTTACACAAGCAAGAGATCAGATCCAAAACGAGCAGGATTTCTTGGAAGAAGGAGAAAACTATTTGAGGAGGGAGTAACGACTCTGTATCGTTCCAACTGCTCAAAAATTTGTTTTGCCAAGGGAACAGGGGAAAGCTGTTAAAAAAAGATTTTAATTTTAAGTCGCTTTCAGCTTTCCCTGTAAGAAAACAAGGAAGAAGCAAACACAATGGCTAAAGAACATGAAAAGATCCCAAAGGTTAAGAATGCTCCAAGAAAAATACGCTCTCAATCTTGACTGGAAACATTATTTTCACCACTCTTGGGGCTGGTGCTGGTTGCAAGGGGCACAAAGGCTCTGTGATTTTGCGAGGGCTCCTGGGGAAGGGGCAGCAGCAGAGCAGGAGCAGAGCTTTGTGCTTTGGGCTCGGCCATGTCCCCAGCACAAAGGCTGTGCTTGCTCAGCTCATTTGCAGGGTGAGTGAGAAGGCTCCAGTGGCAAATTGGATATTGATAACTTCCAGAAGCCCTGCCGGGGCCGCGGTGTTGTTGCGCTCGCTGTCTGAAACGTCGGCAGGCGCTCGCGGCACAAACGTTCCCTTGCTGGCAGAGGAGCGCGGCTCCAAATGAATTAACTTCCAAACCTGGTGTTTAAGGATGTTTTATTGGTCTGATGTCTCTCCAAGTCTTGCCAGAGCCATCATGTCAAAGAGCTGTGCACTCAGTTGTAATAAAAAAGAGAGGTTATTTGTAATTAGAGACGTTATTTGTAATAATTGTTGTTTGTAATTCCTCTGGGCATTCTCATGGAAGGGGAAGGCAGTGGAAAAGCACTTTCCAGAGCTCTGATCCATCTTCCCACTGGGAGCTCCCCAGGAAGGGCTGAGCAGGGAAACCTTGGGGTGCCACGTGGGAAGGGCTCTTGGAGACACCCCTGGCATGGAGCAGAGCCAGCAGAGGCACATCCAACTCTCCACACTGCAATTTTGTCATTTTTAACAAGGGGGAAAAGCTTTTCCTTGCTTTGCTTCTCTTTGTTTTGCTGTTGGTTTGTGTCATATTTTTATTAAATAAGGATGGGAATTTTTTTTTTTAATGATCCAAGTTTAGTCTTATTTTGCATAAATATTGGCAGAACAACTTCTGTGGGAGAAGGAAAACAAAGGTTATCGTGATCAGCACATGATTGTGCTTAGGCAGAGTATCAGTTAAATTAATCTTGAAATTATAACATTTCAGCTGCTGGTACATTTCATATTAAAAATCAAATTTAATTTTCCAGTTTTGCAGAAACAAGAATTCCAATCATTTGTTACTTTCCACCACCAGGAGGGAAGAAAAAAAAAAGGGGAAAAAATTAGAATGAATCCAGCTTAATCCTCCAAAATAAATCTCCACTGCAGATTTTTCAGCCATCCTTGAGTGGCACCTCCCAGGTGGAAGTGGATGCTTCACTCATGGTCTCAGAGGGGACAAACCTGGCCTCAATCTTCCAAATTCTGGCATTTACCATGAAATTACAGCTGCATAACCCAAGTCAGAATATTCCATTTATCCTGGAATATGCGCAGATGCTCCTCATTCCCTTTCAGTCACTGGATGTGAGGAAAGATTTTGGGAAGCAGCATCCTCAACACAGGAGCTGAGTCATTCCTGACCATGTGTGGCAATATTTTTCAATGCTTGGTTTAGTTCCATCCAGGCTACAAACCAGAGAACCAAACCCAAAACAGAGGAGGGGAAAAAAATTAAAAAAATAAAAAGAAAGGAAAAAAATCCTTTCTGATTTTCAACATAAAGCTAGGATTACCACCAAAGAACAATAAAAATTCCTTTATTACCAACAACAGGAAGAGCAAAGAGAAAAATAAACCACAGAAAATCTTTGTTATAATTTTTCCATAACAAATAAGGTCTTTTCTGGTCATGTTTGGCTTTTTTTTTTTTTTTTCTCCTTAAAATTGTATCTGTTTAGGAAAAAAAATAAGAATCTTGTTTAGAATAAAAACAAAACTGCAGAGGAAAACGCAGAGCTCTTATTAAAGAGTTTGACATCACAACCCATCTATTAAATAGCAGGATTCTTAAAGGAAAGTCCTTTCCAAATAAAAGGGAGGAAATGAAAGGTTCTGTGAGTTCCCAAGCCCATTGTTGATGCTGTAGAGCACAGAAAACTTCCACTATCCATGGTCAAGGAAGTCATGTAGGAACAGGAATCAGCTCTGGAGGCTTCCACAGGGAGAAGATCCTTGGAGAAATACGTCTGGGACTTGTCCTGGTGCTCCTTTATTCCTCACACATTTTTGTAGTTTAACTGGGGGGGATTAAGGAAGATAAATTGTCAGAGGGGAGGGAAATGGGGAAATGTGCTCTTCCCTTGGCTGGCAGGAGGGATGGATCCATGTCTCTCCGTGTCCTGCTGTCCCTGCTCCACCCCAGGTGACCCCCCCAGGAGCATCAGCTGGAGCCCAGCTCATAGTGAGGGGATGTGAGCTTGTCTCTGGGAGGTTTTTATCTTCCCCTCCCTCTGGGGGCTGGTTTTGGTGCCTTGGGAAGGCTGGACAGAGCTCCAGAATAAAGCAGGGATTTATTCAAAGCATCTCCTCCATGGATCCACCTTGGGCAGCACCAGAGCCCAGCCAGGGCTGCACCCAAATGAACCAAAATGGTCCCAAAATGCACGAGCGCTCCCGGGGGCTCTCCCTGGGGTCAGTTCTGCTCCATTGGCACCTTGGAGTTCATTGTCCCATTCCAGCTTCAGCCCAGGCAGTCCCATCCTGCTTGTTTTTCTCTCTCCAGCCCACGGTGTTTGTGCTCCTGGGCTGAGGTTTGGATCATTTGTCCTTGGTGCCCAGCTGGAGCAGGAATTGTTTTGTCTCTGCTCTGTGCAGAGAGCTCAGCATCCCCTCGTGTGGAGCCCAGACCCACACACTGGAGCAGCACAGAATGGGAAAAATAGAAAAGCTGAACCTGAGGAATTGGTTTGGGCTTGTTTTCCATGGGTTTCTGAGGGACAAGGCTCCTTTTTCATCCCAAAACCTGGCACACTTTGTTCCTGCTCCTTTGCCCGTGGATCCATCCGAGGCTGATTAGGGGTGATAAGGGTTGGCAGTGAGTTATTGCCCAGCCAGCCTGAAAAGCCCAAACCGGCAATTTTGACATAAAACAGCCACAAAAGTGGCTTTCCCCCCCTTATCTGGCTGTGCTTTCGATAGCAAAGGCAGCCTGGAACAAAGGCTTTTGTTCCTGGTTAATCTGGAGTGAGAAGGAGCAGGGACTGATGCTCCCATCAAAGGGTTTGCCCCCTCTGATCCTCTGCCATGGGGTGGCAGGAGGAGCTGCTGGGCCCTGGGGTCCCTGGGCACATCTCAAAGGGCAGCAGCAAGGCTCTGCTGGCATTTTCCCTTCAGCAAACAAGGGGCACTTTTCCCAAGGGGACACTGAGGGTGGAACAAGGAGCAAAGTTCTCACCAAGTTTTAATCACAGAATCTCAGAATCTTTTGGGCTTGAAGGGACCTTAAAGATCATCCAGTTCCACATTCCACTAGCCCAGGCTGCTCCCAGCCCCAGTGTCCAGCCTGGCCTTGGACACTTCCAGGGATCCATGGGCAGCCTCAGCTTCTCTGGGAATTCTTTTCCAGCATCTCCTCAACCTCACAGGGAACAATTCCTTCCCAATATCCCATCCATCCCTGCCCCCTGGCAGTTTAAAGTGAATTTTAATGGAGTTGAATCAGGAATAATTTCTAGGTTCTTTAATAAAATTCCTAAAATTATAAATGAATATTAAAATGCTGAAAAGACCCTCCTAATCATGATATTTTTCTTCCTTGTTTCTCCTCAGCTCCTTATCATTTCAGGTTACCCTGGATTTCCCTCATTGATTTATTGTGAAATGATGACCTGGAGTGAGCAGAATTGTGAACAGGCTGGGGTCAGAATATCCTCTTAAAGATAATTTGGGGTCACATGGCCACGAAATCCAAGAAAAGCCTGAGTTTTCCTGCTCTGGATCTGCACAGAATTCAGGACTGGGGGTGTTTGTGCAGCACTAAAGGGATAAAGTTCTTTTGGCCTCCTCTGTTGAACTGCACTCTCTCTTCCTGCTCATTTCACAGCCAAAAGGGTCAGAGCTTCTCCTTTTATTTCAACAAACTGAACCCAGAAATCACCATCCAATCAATCTCGGGAAAAAAAAAAAAAAAAAAGAGGAATACTCTGTTTCCATCTGCATTTTTCCAAATGTAAATACTCCTTTAATTTAGTACAAAATTATTGTGCTGTAAACTCTTTTATAACACTGCTAAATTTCATTTTTGGTTTTGTTTTTCATTTTCTGATGTCTTTTGTGGATTTGGGATACAAACAAATGACATGGTACTAACAATGACTTGAACCAGCTTCTGAAAGATGGGTTTCTGTTGGGGTTTGGGGTTTCTTTTACCTCCTTGCACCACTGTTTTTTGGGGGTTTTTTTGGGTTTTTTTTTGGCTTCTTCATCCGTGACTTTCTCAGGAGGGCAAGGAGGGCAGCATGTTTTGGGATTAGGATTCCCATGGTCAAAATCTTTCCTGAGGTCCATTTGTGGAAATATTCGAGTACCCCTCAAGAGGAATTCTGCAGTGTGGTTTAGGAAGATCTTTGTGATTAAATCATGCCACATCTCAGCTAGAATCCAGAGGAGGAAGATGCCCCAGAAGGAAAAAAAACAAGTGCTAAGGAGTTATTCAGAACACAGGGATCACACCCAAAATCTCCAAAGGGAATAAAATCGGATATTTTCCTGTAAAAGTGCTGCTGCGTACAAATGTAAATCTAAGAACTATACAGAAAAAAAAAAAAAGGGAAAATCAAGGCACAAAGTGATTTTAGTGGAAGGGACCTTGAGGTCAGGCAGGGCTGGAAAGGGCCAGGCCAGCAGGGAATGTGGCCAAGGATTGGAGCTGCAGTAATGGTGGTGATGGGATGAGGAGCAGAAGAGCTCCATGGCTGGGGAAACACTCCCATGTTCTCTGATACAGAATAGAAACCCTACACTCAATAACCCAATACTTCAAATACTCATTTTCTCTTCCACAGGAGGTGTTGTAGCACCAGAGGCTTCCAGGACAAGGAACAGCTTTCCCTCAGGTCCACCTCACCCCGAGCTTCCCTCTGTCCATCCCTCTTTCCATGGAACACAAAACCATCCAGAGCTGCATTCTGATTCATCCTTTCCCAAATCACTTTCTTTTGAGAGCAGTGGAAAGTCCCTCTTGTTTTCTTTCTTTTCTTTTTTTTTTTTTTTTTTTTTTTTTTTTTTTTTTTTTTTTTTTTTGTTTCCATGGCCATAATTTAATTCTTCATTTTAACCAACTTGCTATGTCCTTTCTCCTTGATAACTCCCGAGTTCGAATGTAAAAAATGTATTATTACAAGAGACAATTACGGGGTTCAAAGCATTCTGAAGAATTCCACGCTCCCAGCTTCTGGTACTGATATAAGGAGAGGAATATTTGTGGTTTTTTGACTTGCATGAAGTGGAAGGGTTCCAAGAGCTGGTGGTAAAAGGCCTAATGAAAGTCTGCCTTCATCAGACACAACAAAGCTCCTGCATCCTGGGAGGTTTAACTCTTTCTGTGGACAGGATGCCCAGGCCCCAGCCCGGCACACAAACAACCCTTGACCCTGTAAACTCAACTGCTTCATGCTCAGTCAAAAACAACAACAGCAAAAGAGTAAAAAAAAGAAAGAAAGAAAGAATTCGGCATTTGTTTGGCTTAAAATTCTTTCTTCTTATTTTTTAAACAGCGTTTGTCTGGAAGTTGAAGGTTTGCAGCTCCCAAAGTTTGTTTGGACTGAAGATGTGTCTCACACCTTTGGGATACAGTTGGACAGCAGAAAATGATGGAAATAGGGTCTGTTTTGAAGGACACCCAGTGGCTGCACAAACATCTGACTGCTGCAGAGCAGGAGGTTCTTCTCTGCTGAACCTTCTGTTTGTCTTTTATTTTTCCATTTCATAAATACCGATTGGAAACTTCTCCTTGGAAGGCAGAGGGAAATCTTGTGGATTGTAAACACGGAGAAGAGGAATTGTTTAGGATGGTGAAAAGGGTATAAGGACTCAAAGCATAACGTTAAGTGGAGGAAAGTTGAGGCTGGATAAACTTCCAAGTGCTGAAATCTTATTAGGCTGTGGAAAATTCTTCCAAAAGATGTGGGAGACGCTCCACTGTTTGAGCAGTTTGCCATTAGATTGGACAAAACACTACAAGGAAACCTTAAACAATCTTGCCCCAGCAAAGGGCGTGAAGTGAAGAGGCCAAAATTTGATGTCTCCAACACCTCCTTTGATTTCATGGACCACGAATCCATCCACGCCCAGAGAGGGAGAGCATCCGTGGGATTTGTGTGGCTAAAGGTGGATTCACCACTGGGATGGACTCAGATCTGGAACCTGCTGGAGAGAAACCTGTGCCATCCAACAAAGCAGAAGGTGTCAGGGCCTCCCATCCCAGCAAGGAACAGCAATTCAAAACAGGAAAATGGGAAATAAAGACACACATTGGAAATGTTTTGCTGCCCACAGGGAAATTTGTACTTTGGGGTTCAGAGATCCTTCATGGGATAGCCTGGGAGAGAGCATAAGGAACCTTTCAGACCATCAAGAAGGATTAAAAAACAGTTTGACACAGCTGAGCCCAAAGACAAAGATGTTTTACCCCAAAATCTGCTACCTGTCCTCAAAGGATCTGTCCAGGTTGAGCAGCAATTCCCACGAGGCAGAGCAAGCAGCCACTCTGGGTTTGCTGTGTCTCTCCAAAATCATTCCAAGGGCCTCGTATCTGTTGATCCAATGTTCAGCAGGGAATTCCAGTTTGAAATATGTGTGGGTTTAGTTACAGGCTGATGAAATTATGGTCAGTGGGAAGAACTGTGAGGTGATGCAAATTGTTAACTCAGTTTTTCTAGTAAACACAAAGAAGATCCAGCAGGATTTACAACTGTAATGATTCTCCAGGAAGATTAAAGTATTTTGGATATTAATCTACTTGCTACCTTTTCCCTTCTCCTTATGGACGACCAAAAAGCAAATTCTGGTGTTTTTTTAGAAGTCCATTCATGATGGTGTTGGCCTGAAGCTCCTCAAGAGACAAAAAAATCTTCCCACTGATTTCCTGGGGCCTTGTATTTTATCAGACCAGATAAATTTGATCCAGAAACACCAAATTTCTGATCTCTCTGCTCTGGGGAGTCGTTAGGAGTCTTCAAAATCTGCTCTGAGTTGTTAAACTCTGCCTGGTCATGTGGTGGGGTTTTCAGTCCTGGCTGGAGGCATTTGGGAGCACATCTGGTGCAAATATTTCCTGGTGGAACCCAAAATGTCACTTTCTGTAAATACTTCTCTGTGTGATTCTAAAATTCACTTTCCACTGTTTTTGGCCAGTAAAACCTGAAAACTCCAAAATTCTTTGAAAGCAAAGACAAAGAGATGAGGACATGGCCAAAGGAACATTATTGCAAATTTGGATGAATCCAATACTGGTTAAAGCACACTTTGAATCTGCTGTAAACTGAATTTTTGTAGACTGGAGAAGTTTCTCAGATCTTGACCTGGTAGGAGAGCAGAGGGAAACCTTGAGGGTTTAAGTGAAAAGAAAACCAACTCTCACATATGTGCTCCATACATGGAAATATGGAATATTTACTTTTAATACAACAAAACCATGGTGTTTACATGGGTATTTGGTGATTTTTGCTGTAAATGCTCTGTTGGTTCACAGGGCATCTGAGTCCATGAACCATGGAGCTGATCCAACCAGGGGAACGAATCCCACCTCCTAAACACCTCTAAAACCCATTATTCTTCAGAGTGGCAGAACTTCTTGCCTATTTACTGCCTAAACCAATCCCTACTTTTTTTTTCCCAAAGAATTGGTGGATGTCAAAATTAATTTGAATTTTCTCCTTGTTATTTTTTTTTTTTTGTAATTGTTGCAAATTGAATGCTTTTTACAGAACCTTGGTGGGTTTAGAGGCAGAAGTGGCATTTCTAGGTTCCAGCCTCAGGGGGAAGGGCCACCTCATCCCCACCTTTCCCTGGCTCATTCCAAGCCTTGGATAAAGGATCCAAAGTGCCACAAGTCTTCTTCCAGAGAGACCACAACAAGTCCTGATGCAGTCACAGGATGGGTTTGGCCAGGAGCTGTTAAATCAACAGTAAAATCCTTTAATTCCTCTGAACATCCAATACTTTGGATCCTTGATTTTAGGACCAAAAATGAAGGGGTTGCTCGTGTCTTTCCTTAATGGTTGCATTTATCAACAGATTTCTCATCTTTATCCCCTTGTTTCTAACACACCTCTACGCTGTTCCTTCTCTTTTTATTCCGTTTTTCCACCAAACCTTTCTTCCTCCCCAGCTTTGTCCTACACCTTTCCCTTCACACCACTCCAGATCTTTTTCCTTCTCCCACTGTTATGAATCCTCAAGGGCCACAAGAATTTTCCGTTTTCCTGCCCGAAACTCTTCGTATATCTCTCCCCACCTCGTTACAATAAAATAATTCTTCCATTTCGCTGTCACCTCAATTTAGCTCTCTCACCCTCCACTCCCTCTTTTTCCCCTGGTTGAAAGTCCGACCAGCATTTCCTGAATTGGAAAAGCCACAATAATATTTTTTTCCATTGAAAATACCACAAGTACAGTATTTCCATTGAACATACCACAAGAACAGTGTTTCCATTGAATGTACCACAAGGACGGTGCTTTTGAGGTATCTAAATGCTGAGATGAACTCATAATGTTCATCTTGGACTCATTAAAGCAAAGCCCCTTCTCTCCTCAAAAATAATAATGATAAAAAAAATTGCCTCAGACAGAGAAAGAATTTTTATTCACAGGTTTCAAAAAAGAAAAAAAAATACAATAAAAACAAGACCTAGACAGAGCCAGGACAATTTTGCACTTGCTTTGTGAGTAAAATATAAATAGGTTTTAGCAAGTTAAAAAAAAAATCCATTAAAAATGCTTAGAGTGGTTGAACAGCTGGAAAAGCAACTTTTTTTTTGATAACATTTAAAGCTGCTTAGCAGCTGGGGAAAAAATCGCCTGTAAAAACACTTAACATTTACAGCCACTCAGTGGCTGGAAAAGCAACTTGTTATAAAACTGATTTAACATCTCAGTGGCTGGAAAAGACATCCCCACACATCCATCGAGCTGCAGTGCTTTATACTGCTATTTATGGCTATTTAGACACAGATAAGGCTATAAATAGATAAACTGGGCATTTCTGCTGATGCCATTGTGGCAGGGAATAATTTCCATGCAGATCATTCAGCGTTTTATTTTATTTTATGGGAGTTTTCAGCTAAGCCCTTTAAATTCCCATCAGTCTGGAGTCTGGCGGGCCGGGATGCTCAGCCCCCAGGAAGGCTGTAAATCAGTTTAGTTACAGAGCACTTTATGAAATAATAACTGAGTTCTGTGCTTGATGGGCTCCAGTGAAGCTCTGGCTGCCCGACAAAATCTTTTTAATCCAGGGTGTGAAATGGGGATGTCTCCATCAGGAGCTGGAGGGGTGCAGGAACCTGCCAGCCCCAAAATCCCAAAAACAAGGGGTGTGATAAGCCCCATCAAAACAATAATTAAGCACATTTGTCTCTGTCTGAGATTAGAGATTTTGAAGATTCTGATTTAAAACATGAGTCATGTAACAGCCCTCCAGCAGCCTTGGGTAGTGGTGCAGCCCTGCATCCAAATGTGCAGGCAGGCCCTGCATCCAGCTGCGCAGTGTTGACAGAGGGGATGCACTGGCCCATCCCTGCTTAGCCCTGCTCAGAGGCCCCAAAGCCAGGACGAAAGTTGCTGCCCAAATGTTCTCAGGCTTCCTGTGACCCCTGAGCACCTCCTGGGGTGGGCACCAGCTGTGTGTGGCACCCTGGAATTAACTGCTGAAACGCAGTAACACCACAGGGCCGAGTGCTTTGTTCAGTTCCTCGAGGCAGGGATTTTCCCAGCCCCTGGGGAGCTGTCAGGACTCTCTGAGGGTCTCCCTCAGACTTCACCTCTGTCTGATTTTCTGTTTCATCCTTCCAAGCGTTTCTCCCTGTGACAAAATCCGCTGGATGCATCCATCATGTTTGAAAGATGTCATAAAACCCTTGAGGCAGTTCTTGCACTGCAACAACAAGTTGGGGCAATAAAACCTTTTGTGTGCTGCATGTTTTGCTGCTGGGGGGCAATCCAGGCAAACCAAGAAGCCTTGTTAAGCCCAGGGATCCCACCTCGCTCCCCAGGGGCTGACCTCAGCTCCTGGTGAGCCCCTTGGGAAGAGCACAGAGTGTTCTGGAGCAAAAGCAGCTCCTTACGTTTTATTTCCAAGCAAGGATGTCCTTTCTGGCTAGATTGTGGTGGAGGACCCAGTAAAGAGGGAGGGGGAGTGTTGCCATGACTGGGTGTCACTTCCCAAAGCCCCAAATTTCTTCTGAAATCAGGGGGAGAGCCCAAAGTGCTGCTTTAGCTGGGTTTGGTGCCAGCTTTCAGAGCTCAGATGAGAAGATGGATGTCTCTGTCGGTAGCTGCAGATAATGAGGCAATGTTCCCGAAGTATCTGAGGCTGGGATCTTTGAAGTGTAACCACATTGTGGCCAAATGCTTGTGAAAGTGGAAAAAATAATAATTACCTATGAATATGTGAAGACATATATTCCTCAAGGACAGACAGGAATTGCTCAGTGTCGTCCGGGTGAAGGGAGGAGGTGCAAAAAGAAGATTTTCAGCAGAGTTTTCCTGCCAGGGAGAGCTATTAGGCACTGGAATTATTTCCTCAAGGAAAGCAGAGGAAGGCGATTCCTTCAGACATTTAATAATAGCTTGGGCAAAGAATTAGGAAATATAAAGAAGCAGCCTGTACTGGCAGGTAATTGAGCTAATCAGGACTAAGTAGGACTCAGAATTTATTTTTTCTTAGGATCATTTAAAGTCAGCTGCAATAGATATTTCATTAATTCATTGCCCTTTTCATTGCAGTCCAACGCCCAGGAGGAAGGCAGAAGAAGTTAATATTAAAAAAACACCAACCCAGTCAGTGCTGGGAACACTGGGGCGAGGCAGTGCCAGCGAGGAGAGATTTCATGGGCACTCATCAGACACACAAACGAGCTCTCAAACAGGCCACAAAAGCCAGTGGGGAAGAGAAGGGGTAGAAGGAGCCAAGGTCTGATCTGGAAAATAAAAAGGGAAAAAGCAAGGATGAAGAACCAGGGGATTGGACAAGATGGGATGGGCTGGGAGGGGGTCCTGGAGAGCCTCTGTCTTGGCAACAGCCATGGAAAATCAAAGTGCAGAATAAAAAAGTGCTGTAAGAACAGCCCATGATCGAATACCAGACTGGCTAATTTGTATTTCAGGGGCTCGAGGAGAGGATGCTGCAGTCTGTGCCTCTGGACCTTCCACACATTCGGTGTTCCTGGACAAAGAGCCAGCACTAAATCAGGGGCATCCGGCTCAGACATGAACTGGGGTGTAAAGGCTGAGCAGCACCAGACTGAGAGACTAAATTTGGGGAGAGA